TCCCCCCGCCCCCCCCGGGTTCCGCCCGCCGCCAGTAGTCCCCGTCGAAGGCTGCGGCGGCGGGGCGGGCGTCAGGGGCCCCACGGGGCCGCGGTGCTGCCACACGCCTGTCGCCCCGGCCAAGTCCCTGTCCCCATCCCATTCCCGTCCCCATCCCATTGCCATGCGCATCCCCAGTCCCATTCCTGTCCCCATCCCTATTCCCAACCTCATTGCATTCCCATCCCCATCCCTATCCCCAATCCCATTCCCATCCCCATCCCGTTCCCATCCTCATCGCCATCCCATGCCCAACCCTCTTCCCATCCCCATTCCCAATCCCTTCCTGTCCCCATCCCATTCCTGTCCCCATCCCATCCCCATTCCCAGTCCCTTCCTGTCCCCATCCCATTCCTGTCCCCATCCCCATTCCCAGTCCCTTCCTGTCCCCATCCCATTCCTGTCCCCATTCCATCCCCTTTCCCATTCCTGTTCCCATCCCCCCTCCATCCTATTCCTGTCCCTGTCCCCATCCCCATCCTCAACCTCATCCCATTCCCATCCCCATCTCCATCCCCAATCCCATTCCTGCCCCCATCCCATCTCCATTCCCAGCCTAATCCTATTTCCACCCCCATCCCCAACCCTATCCTGTCCCCATCCCATTCCCATCCCTGTCCCCATCCCTGTCCCCCCATACCCGTCCGGATGTCATGGTTGATGCCGTCCACAGAGATGATGGCGTTGGCGATGCCCTGCTCCGTGTCTCTGTCCCGAACCACCCCCTTAATCCCGCGGTGCACCTGGGGACCGCGGCCGGAGCGGGCGTCACCGGGCGGGCGTGCAGGTGGCGCGCGCACGCACACACACATGCACGCACACCCGTGCACACACCCACGTGTGCCACCCTCAGCCACACCCGGCGCCGTTTGTGCCCAGACCCCGGCGCGGGGCCCGGTGCCATGGCACACGCGGCAGGCAGCGCGCACCCATGGCACAGGCGTGCTACGGACGACACCGGCACACGCGCCCTGCACGCACGAACCCTCGCAGGCAGCGCGTGCACCCCGTGCCGGCGCA